AGAAGGAGAAATTTTGTATGTAGGTATATACAGGATAGTTAACATGGTTGTTCTTCTGTCTTCTATTTCTTTGCTGAAAGAAACTGTCAATGAGTCTTTGGTTGACCACTATTGCATTTCTATATCTGTTTTCATGAGAAACCACTTTGAAGATACCAATATATAATACAACAACCATTATTAATTCCCTACCACTTTGTTTGTAACTCCATATTGTCTGTACTGTTCTTTTGCTATGTTGTAAAATGTTGTCTGCCTGTTAATGTTTTCCTCCTTTTATTTTTAAAATAAAAAAAAGAATGAAAATGTGTTTCCATAAAAATGCTTTCCTAGTAACTGTATGTGCCAAAAATGAGATGTATAACTGGAACTATTCTTAAAAAAATTTCTAATTGTTCTCCTCTGTTGCTTTATTCTGAAATAATTTGCCTCAAACCAGAATCAAGAGTTTTTCTTGACTCTTTTTTTCTATTATACCTAACACTACCAATGGAAATAACAATAGAGCAGTAATGTTTATATATCTAACTGCTACCCTAGTATTTAAGTGATCTCAATTATTCCTCCCCATATTTGAGTTGCAGTATTTGAGTTGTTAGTATTACTGTCTCATCCCACAGGTGAAAAAATGAGGCTCTAAGGCCTCACTGGGAACCCAGGATTTGAACACAGGCTGTGTGACTCGAGAACCCACCTTGGTCTTAATATGATCCTCCTTCATTCTCCCAGAGCCATACATCCTACCAGGATCTCACCCAAGGAGCGACTCTCCACTGTGCCCCTGTCTTGCCACTGTTTCTGCCTTTGATCTCTCCCCACGTCTTGTCTGGTTTACTTCATCATCAATTGCTGCCCAGCCCCAAGTTTATTCTTCACACTGCAGCCAGAGTAAACTTTTAAAAGCACAAACCTGGACTGTTATTTCCTGCTCACAACCTTTCTATGTGCTTTGATCCCCTTTGGATGCAAATCTGAAATCCGTGCTTAGCCTGAGCCCCTCTGCCGTTATTCCTCACCATGACTCTGTTCTGGCCACAGAGCCTTCTCTTAGGAACTTCAGTGTACCTGACTTCCTTCCCAGCCTCTGCAGTGCTGATTCTCAGCCTACAGCCCTCGTCCTGCCTAGGCGCCCGCCTAATGGTACTCACTTTCAGAATGCATCTTGAGTATTTCTTCTTCCGGAAGCCTTTGCTGACTCTGCAACCAAAACTGCCCCATAGAATATTCTCTTATAGCACCTTCTGCTTTCCTTTGTGAAAATAGTGCCTACTCTAACTTAAAACATAACCATCCTTCTTCCTCACTAGATTCTAAACTTCTTAAGTAAAGGGACTATCTATTTATAACCAGTGAGTCCCCATATTTTGTACAGTGCCTGGGTGCTCCATAAACATTTGCGAAATGGAGAAATATATTAGCATTTAACATCAACGTCACCCCTAAGGAAGGACATTTTGACTTCCAAAGGTAGAAAGAGCTTGACAAAGGATATTTTAAATTTAGTGAACTTACATTTATGATTAATTCACTCTTTGTCTTTTTAAAAATTCAACTTTTGTACTATGAAAACTTCACCGTACAGTGACATTGAACTTGGGCTGATGTTCCGAAGCCAATGATTTGTTAGCAGCATCTTATTTGCTTCTAGGCTTTCAGATTTTCTTTGTGAGTGAATGCGAATGGAGACACTGAACACCTTTTGTTTTCCCCACTTGTTTTTCACGTTAAAACTGCTGTATTTGTGGTAGGGAGGCTGGGAGTCTCCTGTAGTCCATTATTTCTTCCTTTAATACACGAAGTTTTATTTGGGCATGTGGACACCCCGCAAAAGACTGAAATTCTCACCTTTTCTTGCTGCTGAATGTACCCAAGTGACAAGGTTGTAGACCATGACCTATAAACTGAAGCAGCACAGGCAATTTCTAAATTAAGACCTTAAAAGAAAAGATATTTGGGTATTTTCTCCCCTCAATGAAAGGCCGCTTCTTTGGCAGTAGGAATCCGAGCAGCCATCTTGACCATGAATGGAAGTGGGGGGTTGTTTTATTTTAAATTTAAAAGAAATTTTTTAATTTTACCATTCCTTTTTTTCATTTATTGGTAAATTTAGGTATACATAATGATCACATTCCTTATAGGGAATTTGTGCCTGCACATGATACATCTTGATTTCTTTTTTTTCTCATTCCCATCTCCTCCATTCAAACTCCCCCCCCATTCACAAAGCTCAGTTTTCATTTCATCCTTCTCATTTTTTCTTTCCCTTCCTTCCTTTCCCCCTTCCCTCTCCCTAATTCCTTTTTCCTTTTGAACAGTTTCTTCCTATGTCACATTTTGGTCCTTATTCATGTTTTCAATTTCTCACACCAGAGAAATAACTTGATATTTACACATGTGTGTCAGATTTATCTTACTTATTATTATGGTCTCAAGGTCCATCCATTTAGCCATAAATGTCTCAATTTTATCTTTCTTTATGGCTGAGTAGTACTCCATTGTATAAAAATACCACATCTTTTTTATCCATTCCTTGGCTGATGGGCATTTGGATTGTTTCCAAGATTTAGTTATTATAAACTGTGCCACTATAAACATGGGTATGCATGTGTCTCTGTGGTATGATGCATTTAATTCTTCCAGAAAGATACCCAGAAGAGAAATAGTTGGGTCAAGTGGGACCTCCAATCCTAGGATTTGAGGAATCTCCACACTGATTCCACAGTGGTTATTGTAGTCTATACTTCCACCAACAGTGGAGAAGGGTTCCTTTGTCCCGAGAGCCCCTCCAGCGCTTGTTGTTAGTTGTTTTCTTGATAGCCATCTTTCTGAAGTGAGATGGAATCTTGGTGTTGTTTTAATTTGCATTCCTTGAATGATGATGTTGGACATTATTTGCTGTTTGTACTTCTCCTGAGAAATGTCTGTTCATCTCAGATGCACATTTTAGGATTTGGTCTTTGAATTTGGAGTTCTTCATATGTTCTAGATATTAGTTCTAGGTCTGAAGTACAGTTAGAAGAAAACTTCTCCTTCTCTATGGATTGCTTTTTCATTCTATTGGTATTTTCCCTTGCTGTGAAAAAGCTTTTTAATAAGATGAGATCCCAGTTGTTCATTCTTTGTGATAGTTCCTGTGCAGTTGAAATTCTGTTCATAAGGTCTTTGCCTCCACCAACGTCTTCAAGAGTTCTACCTGTTCTATCTTCCAGAAGATTTAATATTTCTGTTTTAATATTTAAACCTTTGATCCATTTTGACTTTAGTTCAGTGCAGTATGATAAATATGTGTCTAGTTTTAGTCTTCGGCATGTGGAAAGCTAGTTTTTCCAGCACCATTTATTAAAGAGGCTGTCTTTCTTCCAGTGAGCATGTTTTGCTCCTTTGTCAAAGATCAAGTGGATGAGTGCATCTGGGGTTGTTCTGCATCTTCTAATCTGCTCTATTGGCCTGGGTGTTTTTTTTGTTTTGTTTTGGTTTTTTTTGCCCTGGCAAAAAAAAAACACTGCCATGCTGTTTTTATCACAGCAGCCCTGTAGTATAATTTCAAGTCAGGGATTCTGATGCCCCTGCTTTGCCTTTCCTGTGCAGAACTGCTTTTGCTATGCTAGGTCTCTTCTGTGGAAGTGGAGTGTTGAGGATGGAAAAGCAACATGGTAGAAAATGCCTGAGTTATGGAATACTATTCAGCCACAAAGAACAAAATCATGTCATTTGCAGGAAAGTGGATGGAATGGAACACTATCATGTCAGGCAAAATAAGCCAGACTCAGAAAGTTAAATATTACACTTTTTTTCCTCACATGAACAACCTAAAATGAATGAATGGAGGGAGGCAGAGATGGCTGGAAACTAGAAGGCACGCTTTTAGAGATGGGGAATAGGGAGGGAGAAGAAAGGGAGGCAGAACAAAGGGTAATGGGGTGAAAACAACCACAGTGGGTTGTAGCATGCACCAGTATACCAAAACAAGTGTCGTAATTCTGTCTTACTAGTGTCCATGGATACAAAAGAAAAGGCCTGCATTTCTGATACGTGAAGTAGCCATAGTAACCCTGAACAGTGAATGACTGGTCTCTTTTATAATAGCAGCTAAGCTGGTAACCTAACTAATAAAATATTATTCATTCTGTCTCATTCTGAATACTCAACATTATACCTGGGAGTTCTTTCCAAATTATGTGCAATTCTAAGGCAGAAAAATAAAGGTCTGACATGGGAAAAAGATGTAGGGTGTTGCGTGGACATCTGGTGGGTGCTGCTGTCTCACGCGCCAGTTGTCCATGGGACGGTGATTTACGACATGCTTGCTGTTTTTCTGCAGTGCAGTTTTCAAATATTTGATAGAGGTTTTCTGGGAGCAAAGAAACGTTTGTAGCTGCTTGTTTTAGTTGATATTGAATTTATTAAAGCTGAAAAAAATGTAAAAACTTAGTTTTCTTAAGCCTTTGATGTCCAGTTGTTTTTTTGAATTTAGTAATTTTTGTGAAACGTATAACCCCTCATTTCACTTAATTCGTTAATTTTTAAATTTGTTACTAAGTTAAATGTTATTACATTAGTAAATTATTAAATTTCCTTTACACATTTTGAGGCATAGTTACCCAGGTTAAATACCTAAGTATCCTCAACTATTTGAAAAATATTCCTTTTTAAGAAACGTATTTTTCTGAAAAATTGGCAAGAAAAGCTAACCATTTAAGTGACCTGGGTGGCTCTCATGAACCTAAGGTTATAAATTAAAGAAATCTTACTTTCTTAAACATTCAAATAGTGTCGCTAAATGAAACATAATAAGCACATTTATACTACTCTTATAAATTAATCACAACTGATAGATTACTTAATATCATGTGCAAATACCTTAAGGAAAGACAGCATCAAAAGTTCAGTGCTTCGGCACCACACAACCAGGAAAAGGAGGTGAGCAGGAAAGCCACTGAATCGTAGGAGGACGCTCGCCGTCGGGTTGGAGGGACTCCAGGCAGGCTGAAGTTTCAGTTATGTTCACACCCGAGGTGATGCGAGCTTTGTGCACGAACAAGACCCTTCGCTGTGGAGTTCCTATGTTATCGCTGGTTGTGGAGGTTCTTTTGGTCTCCGTGAGTTCTCACAAATCTGATATGTTGCTGTGAGGATTAAAATTGATCACGAGTTGGAAAAAAAGCTGAAAATGAATAAAACGTCTTTAGAATCAGAAGACTGGAAGAATATTCGAGGCCCAAAGCCTTGGGAAGATCCTGATCTCCTTCAAGGACGAAATCCAGAAATCCTTAAGACTAAGACAACCTATGTTCATTCTTTTTCAAAAAAATGTTATCAACAGGGCATATTGGTCCAGGACATACTACACATAAAATTCTAGGTCTGTGGAAAGCTGGTTATGAGTAATTTGATAGAAGATAAACTTGATTTTAGAAAGTCAAGTATATAGGTCTTTGCATTTCCCAGCTAGTCCACCTGCAAATGAAAGTAGCAGTATTGACAACATAAAAAACATTTCAACAAAAATGTGAATAGGATTATCAAAGTTTGTCACATATCATTTCCACCAGCTGCTAGTGCAACCTTTTGCTACTTCATTCTGATTTCTAATAAAAATAGTAGGCTCACATTCAGATTCTCACAGTAAAATTGAGCAGTGATTTCATGCTAAACTTATGTAGGAAAGTAATCCTGATCACTATCCGATCTTAGTATTGTGTGTAATAACCATAGTATGCAACTCAGTCTCTAAAGTTTCAGCTGATGAGTGTGTCGATGCCATGTTTAAACATATTATCAGTGCTAAGGAAATAATATCATTCTCTGTTAAAAATAATGTTAAAGAAATTATATGATATATAATTATGTAGTTATTAATACCCCAAGCCATTACTTATCCCTTTGTTCCAATTTTAACACTATTTTAATATTAGTAATATTTAATAATACATTAATATTTAATTACTATTAGCCATGCAATTAATTATATTGTATTATAATTAATTTATATTAATATTTGATATTATATTATTAGTTATAATTCTATAATTCCCTGTTAAGCCAAAAATGATGAAGTAATACCTGATTGTAAGCAGATACAGTGAATTGTTAAGGTAATTCAGAGATAACTGCTATTTGGAAAAAGCTTTTTAAGGTATGCTTTATACCTTAGCATTTTGAATAGAATTTTATACACATAATTTGTATAGAAATTTATTCTAGCTTTTTGCTTGGTTGATTGATTTTGGTTTTTAATTTTAGGTTTACCATAACCTGATCCCTAGTAAAAGAAAGAAAATTTTTAAAAATTCAGTGCTAACTTGTATTTACTATGTGTCTTTCTTTTCTCTGTCTCTCTCGAGACAGTCTCTGTTTTTCTTAGGCTGGTCCTAGCACATGTAATCCTTCTGCCTCAGACCTCCGATGAGCTAGGAGTACCGGCATCTGTCATCTTGCCTGACTGCTTTATCTTCATGTTAATTTAAGAGTATTATTATTATATGTTTGATTTATTTATTCTAATTTACCTTTTGGGGGTTTGCATAATTCAGCCCAACCAGCAAGATACTTATAATTGGTTCCCAATAGTTGATGATTTTTCAAGCACCCCAAACCATTACTTATCCCTTTATTTCAATTTTTACCACTATTTTTAAACTGCTAATTGCCTAATTATTCTGTGCTCACATTCACTTGCATTGGCAACTCAGTCCTTCAGTACCTAGTTTGTGTTGAAGAGCTGCTGCACTTTCTAGGTTCTTTTAGCTCTCTGATGACCAGCATTTTAAATTCTTTCACTGTCACTTAAAAAAGAAAATTTAGACCTCAGATTCAAGGGACATGAAATAGAATTTCTTAATGCTTATCTATACAAATTGAGTAGCCTTTATCCAAAATGCTTGAAACCTTATCCAGAGTATTTCATATTTTGGATTTTTTCCTGTATGTTGGAATATTTGTGTGTATATAATGACATATCTTGAAGATGGGACCCAAGTCTAAACATTTAAGTAATGTGTTTCATACACACATGTTTCTTGTACATATAACCTAAGGGTGGTTTTGTGCAGAAACTTTGTGCACCTATATTTTGACTGTGACCCATGATATGAGGTCAGGTGTGGAATTTTCTATTTGTGGCATCATGTCACCTCTGAAAAAGTTTCAGATTTTGGAGCATTTTGGATTAGGGATGTTCTTCCCATGTTCTGCTTTGGTTATCTTGTGTTTTAACATAGTTTATTAATCTAATATTATATGTACATACTTCTTCTCTTTTGATAGAAAGTTTAAGCTATTTAAGAACGAACTAAAGAACAAGACAAAAAAGAACAAGCAATGTCTGTGAAGCTTATCACAAACCACAGGTCTCCAGAACACTCTACCAGTTGACAGTCTTCAAAACAAGTTTTTGGGCTTCAACATTGCTGCTTTTTTCTAAAAGATTTAAAAGTTGATAGACTCATTCCTTTTAATATCTTCTGTCTGGATTTCGTCGACATGAATTGCAGTTGGTTTATAGGTGACTTGTGCTTGAGAAAAGTGCTCAAACTTTCTCTAACCATTTCCAAATTGCCATTCAATGAGGGCGTCTTCCTTCCTTACCCCGTAATTTAGTCTGTGGCTGTGTTAGGGGATGGGACAGATGTCAGGTGTGAGGAAGAGGCCTTGGTTTATTTGGCATAAGCACATGGAGACAAGGTTACACACTAAAGGCGTGTCTGCTAATTAGGCACAACCCAGTGAAGCCAGTTCATTCTGGGTGCATGTCTGTGGGCACGCGCGCACACACACACACACCAACCACCACCAGGTAATTTGAAATTAGCACTTATAAATCAATTTGAATTTTCCATTAGGATAATTAAATCAATTGTATCTACAGCACAAGTCAGAAAATGGCCAAAAAAAAAAAAAAAGAAAACCCTTACAATCCAACCATCTTCATTTACTTAATTTGTTCATCTGGAGCATCTGAAATCTATTTAAACTCATCTTTCTCCTTAAGCAGAATAATGATGGCCAAAGCAGAAGGGGTTTTCATTATCATGACGGGTCGGAAAACTCAATGTATTAATTATTGCATGATATTGCTAAAGCTATAGTTAAAAACAGTGTTTCTAATTTTTATTTCAGCTAGAATTCTAAATATTCCTTATTATATTTGTTATATCATCTCCTTAATGAATTGATTTTCCTTTTAGTCCTTTTGAACTTTCAACTATCTGAAGAATCTGGGTATCAACTCTAAAGCTTCGTGGATGAGTTGCTGGAAATCTTTGATGTAAGTCTTTGTATGGCTTCTAATTTGTAGTGTCGGCTTTGCCAAGTCAAGAAATCATAGTTCTTCATCAGTAAATTCAGGAGACTGAATTCAGCTTTCTTTAAATTTTTGTAGCCTTCAGTTTATAGTAACTCTTCAACTGCAGTGGAAACATTAGTTACCTTTATCATTGTAAGTGAGTGCTGACTTGTGTGTATTCACGTGTGTGTGTGTGTGTGTGTGTGTGTGTGCATGTATAGTGTACCTCCAGTGTAACTGGGGAAATAGAATCCAGTTGCTATTTGTCTGGGTGACAAATAGAGTTCCTGTTCCCTTGTTCACATGTACCATGAGACTTTACATGTACAATAATCTCAGTGTATTAAAAAGGGTTTGTCAGGGACAGAAATGAGTTAGTAGTCTGACTGGTATTCTGATTTAGAAATATCTATTAACCAAAATGACTTGTGAATTGACTTATTCATCATTACCTAAAAATCCTCTGGCCTTCGATTTAAAGCACATTAGTAACAACAACAGCAGCAAAGTTCCATAGCACTGACTAGTGGCAGACATCATTTTAAATGTCTTATACTTAGGAATTCATTTGGTCCTTGAAAATGACTGAGGTATGTGATCTGCCTTTCCCATTATACTGATGAGGAAAATGAAGCAAAGGGAGATGAGAAGGCCTGCCCCATTCCTCTCCACTGCAGGCATCAGGGCCTGTGCTGGGCACGGGGGAAGTGTGAGTGGAGACGGGGCTCTGGCTTGCTCTTCTGGAGCTGTCGTGGCAGCTCACTGGGACTTAGGGTGAGTCATTTTGTCTCCGGGCTTGTGCTGTGCAGTGGGAATAGAATGTGGGCTGCACAGGTGAGCAACATGTTTAATTTAAAATTCTCGGATAAACACATTTTAAAAGAGTAAAAACAGGTGAAGTTCAGTTTAATAATGTAGTTTCCTAAAAATATTATTTGAATGGAGTAAATATAATCATTCAACACATAATTGCCTGTAATCCCAGCACTCAGGAGGCTGAGGCAGGAGGATCGTTGCAAGTTCAAGGTCAGCCTGGGCTACAAAGTAAGCTCAAGGCCAACCTGAACAGTGAAACCCTGTCCCAGAAAGATATATATATATATATAATCTAAACATAATCATTCAAAAAGTAATATATAATAAATTTTTCAGGGTGACAGCTTCATTTTTATATTAAATCTTTGTGGTCTGGTATGTGTGTGGTAGCCCACATGTGCACCACGCTGCCTACCAACTCTGAAACCCAGAGAGCAGCTATTAGGCAAGAGTAATGGACCATCATGAAAGTCTCTTCTCTGGAGTTCTAGGAGTCTATTTTGGGAAGCCCGTGTGCTCTGGAAGTGGTCTATTATGAGATTAGTCCTTTCTTATCTGCTTAAGTAGCATCAATAGTGCATTTGAAGGTAAAAATCATGATGGAGTTGTCGTTTAAGAAACACAGAGGCAGAGCAGCATCAAGATAGTGTGTGTATACCAGAGAGATTTCAGAAAGGGATGATGCCTTAGTAGGTTTAAAAAATCAGTTATTCTTTTAAACATCTGAGAGTTACTGTGGGCCGGGTCCTGTGCTAAGCCTTGGGTTTTCAGAAGAGAACAGTCTAAAACCTCTGCTGTCATGGTCCTTACCCTGTGGTAGAAGAGTAAGTAGATGTGCGGATGTGCTTAGGTACAGACTATGAAGAAAGATAGCTGAGTAGAGCTCAGACACTGAGGTGGGGGGTGTTCTTATTTCAGTGGAAAGATTCTCTGTGAAGGCAGCGAGTGAGGGGAGATTGTACAAAAGATGGAATGAGCAAGCGGGAGGCATGGCAGCAGTACAGGGAGGGCTCTGGGCTGGGAGACAGCTTGAGGTGGAGATGGCCTTGGCGAGTGTGAGAAAAAACAGGAAGGCATTGTTTGGAGCCAAGTGAAGGAGGGCATGATAGGAGGCAGGGTTGGAGAAGTGGGAGTTTGGATTTCAATGTCATTGTTTACGAGGCCAAGGACAGCAAAGATTGGCAGAGGGC